AGTTGTGTCGCCATTTCATCTATTCCAAACATCCTCTTAAATCTTGGTATTATAGGGAAATAACACAAGACTTTCGCTGGGATTTTTTTTAAAAAATTTTCTTAGTCTGTTGGTTAACTTTCCATCTTGAGCAACCACATTTTGGATATAATTCAACATGTTCAAGCTCTTTTCTATATACTAATGAAGAGAACGTGCGTTGCACTTTAGTTGATTATTGTCGACAAGATAGAAATGATTTTATTTTGGAATTGATGTGGTTGATGGTTTCCTTCATCTGATGCAGCGTGAAGGAGTTATTTTTTCCTGAAGCGTCCAACAACAATCAACTTTCTATTTGAGACAACCTAGCAAGCATCCAACAACAATCAACTTCTTATTTAGTTTTGTGGGACAATAACCCATTTAAATTTAATAAATTATTACTTGTAAAAAAAAAACTTTCTGACTGAGCACTAATTTTAAGCTATAAAATATTGCCAATGATTTTAGCTCAGATTTATACCAAGCATTTTCCAAAATCACAAGGAATTCCAGCTATAAAGTTAGTAAATTATGTCAAAATAGTGTTTTCTACAAAGACAACTATGTTGTGTTAATAACAGAGCAAGACCTTTTATCAAATTGCAACATTCATCAGGATGTATTCATGCTACAATGATAGGCGAACATGTGAACGATTTTGGATAAAAAAATTGAGGAATTCAAAGAAGCATCGTAAGCACCAAAAGATACAGGGCCATTTCGTGATGATATATCCTCCATAGGGTATCCAACTGATCCATCCTGATGGGATGGTGGAAATTTCTCGCTCTTTGTCTTAGCATTAGCTTGTGACTCAACTTGCAACCGCTGTAGAATATAGTGGATGCAAAGAAAGAAATCATTAGATTTTAAGCAAATGAGTTCCTATAGGAAGATTCCACACACGATTATATACACAAGCGATAAAAAGACGAAGATAAAAGATTTCGAAGATTAAAAATGGCGTTTAGCAACACAGCCTAAATCTTCTTTTAGTGAGGTCTACGATGTCACTAAAGTAGCTCCCAACACAGATGTGGGTGTAGGAAGTTCAAATCTGAATTTTACCACATTATGGCTGAGTTGCATTTTCTTCACAAGCCTAAACTCCTTAAAATTCTCAGGATCCAAGCAAACTGTCAAGTAGACACATTCCATGAAACAAAGGTTTAGATCCTCCATAAAACAATTGAACTTTAAAGATTAAATCTTTACGCAAGATAATAATTACCTAAATCAGAAACTGCATATATGGGAAAGTTCATAGACTATACAGTTAGTAGTTTATATAAGAAAATCATTTGTTTGTATTTAAACTTCAATGGCATGTTTGATTTGCAGCTCCACACAATATTCGACAATACAATCCAATATTTTAGCTTCTCGTTCTTCCTTAACACTCCATCCTATCAAACATATTGATTTATCACTGAAAGCATAATATACCCGCATAAAAAAGATTGCCCATAAACTGCATACAAGTCGTAAGACGCATCAAGAACATATAACCTTCATTATTGCTATCTACTATATTCAAATGGGCATTTCACATCTGTGTTAATAAAATAGATCACAATAAATGATCAAACCTTTGGGTTTCTTGGAGGAAAATAAGAAGTATGCAACAGCACCAACAACAACAAGACCAATAGAAACACCCACATATAATTGGCCATCAGATGTTTGCCAGAAGTCCATAATGCAAGACAAGAACTAATTTTTGAAAAAGAAAAACTCAAATTTAATAAAAATTCTACTGAAATTAAAGAATGCTAAAAAAGGGTAGCATTTGAATCTTGATAAATGAAGAATTGCGTTGGTATTAGTCCCATTGTTCAAATTGGTTCTTGATAAAATTTCAAATGCAAAATAATTATTTAATTTTTCTCAAGGATACCAAACCTGAATGTTGGAATTTGATGCCAATTGTGACATTAGTTTCTAACCTTTTTTGGGCAATGATGAAATGGGCTTGGCCCAATAGTGCTGGAATGTTTT